AAGGCAGTTGATATTAATATATCATCATGTACAGTCGCGTCACAAAGTGACGCCTGATCCAAATTTTATAATAAAACATAAAAAGAATAGAAAATATATATATTAGTATTTAATTCAATAATTATTTCTAAATTTTATATAATTTTAAAGCCAGTTGTATTTTTTTTAAAAAAGGTTTAAATTGTGGAAAATTTTAAATACATAAACTATTTTAATTTGTAATGCACAAAAGATTTTTTAAGATACAAAAAAAAATTCATACATATAAAAATATACAATTTCGAACCGCATATAAATTTATAATTCTTTTAATAATTGTTTCTAAATTTTGCATAATTTTACAGCTAATTCAATTTTGTTTTAAAATAAAACATTTCAAAGGATTTAAATGAATTTATTAACATTTTGACAACTAGTGCTTACGACGGTTTTTTGCTAGAAGTTTAAAGTTATACAAATTCAATTTAGCAACAAATCAAAATAAAATAAATTCGAATTAAAGGTTTTAAAGATTTGAGGATTTAGAAAAGAAGTCAAAAGATTGTATATTTAATCCACAAATTGCCGACAGAGGTACTAGTGGGAAATTTAAAAGAAAATTATGCTTTAAATTTACAACAATAGAATCTACGTTCTAACGCCTCGCCTAACTTGATTATAAAAGGTTAACTTTACTTTTTATTAATTCAAAGTTATGCAATAGAAGAGTTGGATGTACATAGCTTTTATCTTTTTTGTTTTTTGAAAAAGTAAACATAAAATTTGCTTTTATAAAATCCAAACCGCAGAAAATAAAAAAATTTTTTTTTATTATTATATATGTAAAGAATGGCTTGAGTTTTGTGAAACTGCTCTGGTCTGTTTTTAGTCTGGTCGAATATTTGGCTAAGATTTTCTTTCCTATATTTGTTATGGATCAATCGTACGAAAAAGAAAACGTTTACATTATCATGTTCGTTCATTCAGAAACTGTCAGAGATTATTAGAAACGATCAGCTCTGAAATGATCATAAGCCAGAAAAAACATCAGTTTTAAAAAACCGTTCTTTCGGAGAAAAAGAAATGAAAAATGAAATGAAATATCAAATAGTCAGAAAATTTGGCTAAATTTTTTTTAGTTATTTTGTTTTTTATTTACATGAAAAAAAGTACTAATGAAACTAGACTAAAATAAGCAACAAATAAAACAAACAGATAATGCGCCATCTATGTAAAAATTAGATAAGATCCCCTAATAATAGAAATAATAAAACAAAATTAGTTTTATGATCTAAAACTATCTTTTTTTTCGAACTAAAAATTACCTTTTCAAACTAAAAAATAAAAAGAATAAACAAAAAAAGTATTCTCTTAGTTATTTATAAGCTATAAAAAAGAACAGGACGAAAGAAAAAACGCAATAAAAAATGACATTTATATTTGCCGCTGTTTTCCTTATTGAAACAACTTCTGGCAATGTAACACTAACCTCAATAAAAATAAGTTCCGATGGAAGAGGCAGCAATAGAGTATAGATTTTCGGTTTAACTCATTTATCTCTAAATATCCAATTTTAGAAAGCAGTTAACTTTATTTTGTAAGACAAGAAGCGGTTAGATCCTTTTTAAGTTATCCGAGCAGATTAGATTATTTTACATTGAATATAATTTCGCTCCAGAGACACCATAATTTTGTATGTAAAACTGTTTTCGTTATTTGCAGTTAATCCTTTGAAGATCATTTTTCAGGTTGTCAATGTTAAAATTGCAGGATGCCAGGCTGTCCTAATAATTATTATTTTTATAAATTCAGATTCAGCTGGAAATTCGCGATATTTTCGCTTTCGTCGTTTTTTTAACATTTTAATTTTATACTTGTAATTTCATTTATTTTTAATTTCCGATTTTTCTTTTTATTTTATTACACAAAAATTTTCGTAATTGGCAGTTTTAATTAAATAGAGCTTTATTGATTGGCATTTATTTAGTTTAATATATCGAAAGTTTAGAGCGCCGATGTTGAGGCAACACTGAATAATTTGATATTATTAAATAAATTTAGCGTCAATATTACTTTCATATTTACTTAATAAAAACTTCTGCTTACATTTAAAATTGTTTATTAATACATAAACAAAAAGAACTGAATACAACAGTATCATTTAGAGAATTAATGTTAGTTTTTATGATCGATTAGTATTGGATAACAGTTTTTGTGATAAACATTTATAAAGTTTGTATGGATAACGTAGTATATTTCGTCGCCTAGAAGAAACCCTACTAAATATTAAAGTTTCGATCCATTTTTATAAGAAAATCACTGCAGCGAGTATTTTTAATGGTAAAGGAAAGTTATAATGAATCTATGATAAGTTATATTTTCAAAAAAAAACAAAAATAAACCAAAATAATATTGGTACAAGTATAATTTCAGTATTTCTAATGGGCATTACCTAGTTAAAAGGTTATGATGGTTTTGAGAAGCGTCGATGGTTTGTTTAGACGCGGTTTTACTATGTATTTTGATTTTCTTTTCGATGACACGGACGTTATGATCACGATGTGTTTGTTACACCAAAAATCATGAAAAATCCACTTTTGGCGCGGATTTATTGAATTTCAAAAGTCACGTGACTTCCGTTCATTTTGAAGAATTTTTTAAAAACGAGTATAGCGGTACAAATTTTTTATAAATAACATTTGGTATGGGCATTTTAAAATGTTCCATTTCGATCAACGGATTCACTCAAACATTGCAAAGCAAATAAGTTTCATACGCAAAGAATGAAATGCTTTTTTATAATAATGATAAAAATTTCAAATATATTAACGTTAACGTTAAACCAAATTTCCTTAATTTATCGACCAATCTTTATAATGACGTGATTTTTTTTGTGAATAGTTCCCAGTTTGCTCATTCGGTCTAACATAATTTATAAATAAGAATAAAATTAACCTTTCTATACCACTAAAAGTCGATAAGTTTCTATATCCTCAAGTTGAAAATCAAAATATATCCTGATACATATCCTGAACTAAGCAAATGACAAACACCTTCGATTTTCTCTCTCAAAGAATCGTTCTAATTTGTAATAAGGGTAGGTAACCTGATTTAACATTAAATAATCGTCTTGACATTTCAAATAAACCAAAGTCAATTCCGAAGCGGAAATGGGTTGTAGTATATCCTTTGTTCAGGCGAATGTAGAGAGGTAGGAACTGGATCCAAACTTCTATTGGGATAACGTAATTGTTTGCATGCACATACGCGGTATTGCCTATTTGCATACATTATACAATTTAACTTTTATACAAAATCACATTATTATATTAAATGGATTCGATGCCTTCGAAGCATTTTACGCTTTGTAAGTGCAGAAATTATTTCTATTTACTAGGGTTGAAGTAAGCTGCGCCATATATCACATGATGAATTTTCTCGTAGTATAATTTTCTTTAAGGATACAGTCTAATAAAAGTATTCATCAACATTTACCTAAATATTTTCATCGATTGGGATAGAAACTTGATTATTTTCCAACTATATACCAAGTAATATCACTTAAATGAAGTTGTAAGTAAAATTTTTGTAGACAAAGCGGTTCGTACATTCTCAAATGGCATGGCATTTGCAAAATTCCTGATATGCACGACCTCGTACTCTTTCAACTAGTCAATTCTTTAATACTTTTAATAACTGATAATAATGATTAGTAGTCTTAACGATAAACTGCAACTTAAAAATATTTGCTCGTCAAATTATTACAGAAATTTTATTGAAATATACATTTTTTTAAACAAAAAAAAAAATAGAAAAGGTTTTTAACCCATGAAAATTTTCTCCTGAACATTTTTTCCCCAATGACTTAATTTACGCTGCATATATTATAATATTGTAATCTAAATGTTTTAATAAAGAAATAGAAAGAACGATTCAATATAAAAAAAAAAAGTTGAACAATTAAATAAATAATAACAAAAATATTTTACCATTAAATCCGTAGATAATGCCTCAGAAATTCTGCTTCATTTCTTTAACAAAAGGAGTTGTACTAATAGTACTATAATTTAAGATCTCAACTTCAATGGTTGGCGTTCCAGAATTTCCCATCGATCCCTTGTAAAGCAAATCATCACTTAGGACTCCGCGGTAAACTTTATTGTCCCCTTGATGAGGAAGTTCATGGTACATCTTGTCATATAATTCTAGACCAGTTTTAACGTAAGGTTAAATATTGTGATGTTTATGCTTGGCGGAGCGAACTCTTGAAATTCTTACCTTGATTAGCTCTGACACGACCTTTATAAACTTTTAAGTTCCACCAATTTGAGTAAAAGGCGTTATTAAATGGGACGCTCCACATAAAGGCCAAGGATTCATTACGATCTTTGATATGGTACACAATGACTCCTACAGTTCCTGCAGCTACGCTAGCAACCTTGCGAGCTCCCCAAACTAACCCTTTATCACTTGAGAGTTTTGTAATAGGAAGCAGGTAATTGGATTTTCCATATTGAATATATACTTCAGGTTTCTCAAAAACTATTTCTGGCGAAAGATTTTTGATGGCAATAGCAACTTTTCTGTTAAAATCGCCTAGTTCCTGTAAACAAAAAAAAAAAGTTAACCTAAAAAAGCCCAATTCAATAATTTTTAATAATATTAATTATACTTTTAAGAGATTTTTTATCAAGGAAGGAGTAATTTCCGAAACATCGTAAATGCCTGCTATCATGATTGAAATTTAACAGTACAGTTCAGTTAAAGTGATGAGAAAAAAAAAAAAAAATAACTGAACATTTTTAAGTATTCCGGTCGTATGATCATGTTGTGCGACAAAGAGCATCAATGCATTTAACATTTATAGTTACCTTATCAATAAAAAGTTCACAATGACAATATGATTTTATTACTTACCAATTTAAGCCTAAATAAATAAAATTTTTATCCAGGTAATTAAGCGATTACTCAAAAAATAAATACTTGACTCAGGATAGTTAAATAGAAATTAGTTAATATTTTCAATAATAAGTCCAACCATCAATAGAAAAAAGAATTTGAGATTTACTATTTATGTCAATCGATTTTTAATGATAATTTTTTTTTATACGCAAATTCTGACAAAATTTTTTCTCGCGTAACATCAAAAAAAAAAATGGACGATTAAGAAATTACTGCGCCATTTTGAGTATTTTGAGTCTAATTAGTCATCCAATAACAAGCTTTGGTAACTTTGCGACAATTACTCTCTTCTTTCCAAAAATGCACACATCGTGAGTTAAAATCACATTCAAAATCGTTTATATTTTTTTGCGTGCTTGAAATGCTTGTTCATGTGTCGCCAGTCGTTTTCGTATGTTTATATATCTTTCTCAATTTGTTAGACCGCGATTATTCTAACAATCATCCCATATGATTTATTGTTAAATGAGGAAATTAAATTGAGGGGGCGTAGATTATGTACAGTCGCGTCACAAATGTGACGCCTGATTTAAATTTTATAGTGGACCTTACAATTAAAATGGTTCTTGCATTTAAGCTCCCCAAAAGTTTAAATATTTTTTTTAAAATTATGACTAATTAGCTGTAAAATTATGCAAAATTTAGAAACAATTATTAAAAGAAATATAAATTTATATGCGGTTCGAAATTGTATATTTTTATATGTATAAATTTTTTTTTGGATCTTAAACTTATAGAAAAAATATTTTGTGCATTACAATTAAAATAGTTTATGTATTTAAAATTTTCCACAAATTAATCCTTTTTTTAAAAAAAATACAACTGGCTTTAATATTATATAAAATTTAGAAATAATTATTAAATTAAATACTAATATGTATATTTTCTTTTTATGTTTTATTAGTTTTATTATAAAATTTGGATCAGGCGTCACTTTGTGACGCGACTGTACATGATGATATATTAATATCAACTGCCTT